ATATATATATATATACCATTCTATAATAATGTGCAGTAGTATAACACGCGTTCAAATAAGAAAATGCTCGATGAGATTTAAAAAAACTTTGGTATAATTTTAGTGAACAAACAACCCAAAAATTCCTTACCGAAGCCGCCGAGAAAGTTACACGGGTCAGCTTCGAACGAAACCGAGCTACCTGTCATTTGCCACACTTCCGTAGCCGTTTTCATTAATAATCTACCATTTGTCAATAATAAAATAACTTCTATTTAAAAAATGTTATCTATAATTAGACGAATTTCTCCTTCTATTCGGGGCAGCTGCAGAGAAGGTCTAAAGTGGTTGAACATTGACCAAACATGAAGCCGTCCATCCTATGTCTTCCTTCCCTTCGGTCTCCTATATAAGGTTTCATAGCCTTTAATAGCTGGAGAAACAAGCTTTTCTTCTTCATCCAAGAATGATGCCAAGATCAGTCATCACCTTCCTATACCTCCTCGACCTCATCCAGTACACCGCATCCTTCCTCCTTTATCGCATCGGCCTCAACCCATCCTTTGAAACAGAGCCGACACCATGGGACGACGAGGAGTTCTTATTCATGTCTGTTGGCATTTCCATGCCAACAACAACATCTACTGCACAGACCTTGAAGAATAATTTGCCTGTTATCGATTACAAGAGCTTTCTCGAGAGAAAAAGAAAATCTCCCATGGCTGAGGCAACGCCAGATTGTGCCATTTGCCTTCAGTTCATAGAGCCTATGGACCATGTTCGTGAGCTAGGCAATTGTTGCCATGAATTCCACATGGATTGCATGGACCGGTGGTTGGACCTAGGCCGATTCAATTGTCCTCTCTGTAGATCAGCGGTGTTTCCATCTCAGGTCGTCTTCTGCAAAGGACCGTTTTCGGTTTTGAAATTTCTTCTATTTGGGAATGATTCAGTGGCTAGAGGCTGTTGACACTTCAACAATTGATGATTAGTTGATTAATTTGTTACAATTAAATTTATTATTTGTACTTATTTTTTTATTTTTTATCGAAGAAATGATTTTTAGTTGAATAATAATTAATTTATTTTTTATTTCAAATGAATTTATTATTTGTAGTTATTTTTTTTATTTTTTTTTTATCAAATAAATGACTTTTAGTTGAATAATTCTCCTCAAAATTTACAATTCTTAGACAACGATATGTAATTTGTATGTAAAAGTTATAAATAATTAATCAAATGAAGATATTTGTTTAAATATAAATATGCTTAAAATAATTATTTATAAAGATTTTTGCTTAAAATAATTCAGATTTTTAAAAAAATAAAGATAGTTAAATTATCTTCTATTTTATTAAATTTTGTTTTATGTTAAAACATTTGTTTTATCCATGAGTTTAAAATTTTGTAAAAACTAGTAATATAATTTATATTTGAAAAAAGCTTAAATGTCTTTCTATCAGTTAAATGCACATTAATTTAATTTTGGCCTTTAACTGGCGACCAAAGACTTCCCGTGAGTCCGAAAATTTGAGCAATTATTCGACGGTGTAGTGACACAATAGATATTAAATCATTTCTGACGGTTTTACAACTAAACAAATCTTAGGTTTTACGAAAAATACTTTTTTGATGGGCTGTAAAATTTGATCGATGGTTAATTTCATCAGTTCATTCTGATGGTCCAATATCGTCGGAAATTGAAGACTCGGTTTAACGACGAACCTAAGTTTAATCAATCTGGATAAAAAGTCTAAAACCAAAATAAAAATAGTGGGGGAAAGAGAGTCACCTTGTTTAATGCCTCTGGAGGTATGAAAGTATCCATATGTCTTCACATTAAGTAACAATGGGTGAGAGTTATTATTGAATCATCGCATAATTAAGTTGGTTAAATTAATGGTGAAACCTCTTACCAACAGAACCACTTCAATGAAGCCCGATAAGATAGTGTCATAGTCTTTTTTGATTTCTAGCTTGAAGATGACATTACCCCCACTGCAACTTCTGTCAAGGTCAAGGAACATTTCTTGTGCTAACAAGAGATTATCTACAATGCTTCTACCTTTGATGATGGTTGTTTGGTATGGGTTGATCAGCTGATTCAAATAAGGTTGAAGTCTGAACACAATCACTTTGTTGATAATCTTAGTGATCACATTTATAAGCCTAATTGGTCTGAAGAGGTGATCCTGATTCTCTTTATATATATTAATGTGATGTATGCCATTATATGCTTAATTATAATTCTTATTTTGCAACGGTGCCAAAAACTTGCTCTCAAGCAAAAGCTAGGTAAGATTTTGACTTCAAAGCAGATAAGAATACAGTTATAATTTTTTATAGTATACGTATCGTTATGAATTAAAAAAAGACTTTTCGATTAAGCCACGAATTTCAAACCCATAGGGAAAATGCAATATGCACTTTATAAAATAGAAGAAATTAGATAACAAAAATCTATTTAGCAAAATATTCTTACTTCAACTCTAGATACTCAAAGAAGAATGAAAGTTCGATTCGGTTTGTAATTTTTTTATAGTTGAAAATTGTTGACCTCACTTTTGGTTGAGGTCTAGTCTTTCCTCCTTAGTAGCATAGGATCTAGCCATAAGACTTTCTTGTTGACCATTCATAGAGGACTAGTAAAGAAACTTTTACAACTAGAAACTCTAAACTCTTCTTTGCTCAGTTTGAAGTTTCACAAATTGGTCTTTTCTTCTAACATTTAGTAAGTGGGGCCTGTATGGATGAGCTCAAAGGGAGTCCACAAAGGAGTGTTTGGCCTTAGGAAGGACTCTGAGTGGTGTGGTCTTGGTCAGTCTTGCACGCACAGACACTTGATATCCCTCAGTTACACTCACAACTTTAGGCTTTACTCAAATATGCTTAGATGGTCCCTTATCATTTTGGGAAACCCATGTAGATGGTCCCCTAAGCCACTTGCCCTAGGCTAGGGTTTAGCTTAGACCAGTACATGGTGGACCCAAGGTAGAGAAATCTATTTGTCCATGGCTTGAGTAGGGTGGTTGTGTGATTGATAACCCCAATCCTATTAAAATACCCAATTTAGCCTTTCATCCCCAAAATCTACCCAATTTACCACACAACCCTTGAAACCCCAATTTTGACCAAAATTCCCAAAATTACCCAAAATTCCGAACTTTGTTCAAAAAATATTTCAAACCATTTGAAACTACCCAAATTGCCCAAACCACCCAAAAATTTAAAATTACCAAAATAACCCTAGTGACCCATACTATCCCAAAACCTTCCAAATCATTTTTAATGTCCCCAAAACCAATTTGGACCACTCTTTTAAGCCCAATTTGAGCAATTTGACCGATTTTGACCAAAATCCCCTAATTTCTCTTAAAGGCCCACTTACTCTATATCACCCCTAATGTCCTCCAATTTGATCGTAATCTTCCCCAATTTCAATTCTAAACTCAAATTCATTATGACTAAAATTGATTGAAACCAAATCCAAGCCCACATAAACCCAATTTCAAGCCCAATTTCAGTTTCAATCCAAAAATCGCCAATGTTACCCAAAGCCAAAACATCACCAAATTGAACACCCAAACTTATCCAATTACCTTAATTTTGAGTTCTAACACCAAAATTTCCACTCAACTTATATTAAAGACACTTCATGACAATGATTTGCACCAAGTTTCTTAATCAATTGGACCCAATCAAAGCTCAAGCCCAACCTAGCCAAATTGGTCAACCCAAGACTACCGCCACCAAGTGGACCCTAGGGACAAGCCTAGAACCACCTAGCCCAACCTAGTTGAGCCATGGACCAATGGGCCCCCAAACTAATGAATTTCATGCCTAAATTGCCTAAGTCAAGGAAATATTTGCCAAAACCCTTCACTAACCTAATTAATTTTGTTGATGGACTGCTCACTGGCTCACCTGGTCACTAGAGGAGCCAAAATTGAGAGCTATCATGCATTAAATTGAATCCAATTGATCCCATCCAATGTGGCTTATCCCCATTGGTCACCTGCGCCACTTAGCCCTCCACCTCAGCTCCCCATTGCACCTACCAGCCACCTCTGAGCTCCATCAGACAACCATGGCTATAAATTGAGCTCCTCGTGGATAAAGTGGAGAGTTCTTGAAACCTAGGGGAAACTCTGCAAAAATCTCACCAGAGCTCCTCCAAACCTTCCTGAGTGTAGGTCCATTGTTTCCAGCCATCCAAAGCCACTGCCCTGACCCAATTTCTCGGGCCAATTCCCTGTCAGAACCAGGACATAATTCTTCACTCCTCCATAGTCCACCAAAGTCCAATTAATTTCACCCACACCATCCTTAGACTGAGAGGAGTTGATCCCCCATAAATGCCTTATCACATATCTTCTCTAACCTAGCTCAAGACTAGCACCTGAAAATTAGTCTGGTTGAAATCATACCTAGACAATTCACCATAGCCCAACAACTCATTTAAAGGGTCGTTGGACTCCTCTAAAGCTTCTTCAACCTTCTGATTGAGGCTACACCTCTCAAACCAACGTATTGAACTCTCCCCTCAATTTGAGCGTAATTTGATTCTCCATGTGTATATATTGTATTTCATGCTTGATCAATTGTATAGATAGGTTTTTCTTTAGTAGATGAAGGTGTAGAAATAAACCTGAAGCAATTTGGTTGAGTCTAGCTCAAGATCTTAAGGGTTTAGTGTGGACACCGTACGTGTTAGGTCAGTTTGGCAGGATGACCAGGAGTCATCCGATCGCACATCTATCGAATGGACGCTCTGGATTGTGCCATACAGATGGATGGATTATTACGGTGGGACGTGTGGTTGCTGAGTCAAGTAGTGGTGTCGAATGGTGGAGCACCGCGTGGCCTTTCGGAGCCGTCGCATGATGTTGTGGCACTGACTGTGTTAAGTAGAAAATTACTACCACTAATTTTGAAAATTTTAAGGTCACTTGAGTTCCATGTGATAAGTTAAGAAGTGCAGAGCCCTAAGGGCAAAATGGTCATTTTGAACTTTATTTCCTTAATTAAATTTTAGGATTAATCAACATGTAAATGGGTAATATTGATTATAAAAAAATCTTATGAGTGTTTTATATTTGAAGGGCTAAGAGATAGAAACCAACTTACCATCCTTTTGATCCCGATGATATAGTTGTGCAAAATATATAAAGTTGACTTCGCTTTACATCAATAAAAAAAACTTGATGCATTATTTTATGAATAATAAATTTAAGCAATTTATATAGAGATTCTACGCAAGTATATGTATCGTTACCAAGTAATACAAGAGTTTCTGTTTAAGCCCCAAATATCGATCCCACAATGAAGGTTTAAATTTGAGATGATAAATTAACTATAAAACTCACAGCAATAAAATAAAATTACTACCACTAATTTTGAATATTTGATGTATTATCAGAACTAAATTACTAACTACTAGCAAAACTGAATTGCAAAGTTTAAATAGTAACTACCAAACTATGTTTCTATCTTTATGTGATAAATATTTCTTATGTTAATATGAAAAAAATAACTTTCCCACTACAATGAGTTTTTTGTAAAATGAGGATAGACAAATGGTTTAAATTTGGATTGTGCCAAATAGGAGCAATTTTAATTATCTACCCTGATTTAGTGCTATAGAGAATCATTGGCTAATCTCAGGTTTAGTCTCTAAATCTGTGGTTAGGCTGGGATGATACTAACTCTCATTCCAAAGCTCCCACTTCCCTTCTCCTGAAGGATAACACTTGTTTTAGTTCTTAAACACTAAGACCAAATTGGGGATTTTAGTCTGTAACCCTAAAATCTTCAATTCTTCACACAACAATGTATATTACCCTATTTATTTATACTTAATTACACGAATGAAATACACTTCCATGGAATTAAATGTGATCCTCAATCTGTTGTAGAACTCGTACTCTACTGCCCGGATCATATGTTTCATAACATAATTTTACATTTCAA